TTTAATTTGCTTTCTTTCTGCAAACTGTTTCTGACTATTCTTGCCCTAACATAATTGAAAATCTGCACATTATTGTCCCCTTACTTGATGCACTCTTTCCATTCATAGTGCCATGTGTCAGAAAAATGTATGGCATAAGTGAAAAAAACATGTTAGTAAGAAATACAAGTTTTATATGATAAAGTAAATTTATATTAACAACATAATTAAAACGTTCTTATACAAAGGGTACATAACTGTAAAGCTACAGTGAACATTTATTTCCACCCCAAATTGAGAAGATGCCACAAAGTCAGTCACCAGAGGCTATAGCATTCACATTTATGAATCTGAGGTACTTTTTTGCTTGTCTACATTTATTCTTACTTTTGTACACAATTATTTTCATAGACGTATAGGAACCTTAGAAGTTATCTTAATATACTTTTTTTTACCTCTAGCTAAACTCTCCAAGAAGATGACTAGTTGTGCTGCATTTAATGATTATCGTATACAGTAGCCAGGTCCAGTGGTACTGCTCAGTGTCTCAGACAGGAGGTTTCTCCTCTATACAACCTAAATCTTTTCAAGAGAAAAGTAGAAGAGTAAATCATCATCATCCTATCTACAACAACACTTTATGTATTAAAAGTTACTTTTTTGTTTCAGGTGGGGTATCAGTATAGGTATACCAGGTATCAGTGTACCTTTATCTGTCCATAAATTCTTAGAAAGCCAAAAGCAAATGAAGCTCTGCACATCAGCTTTTTTTCCATTGCTAGAGCTTTTATTTTTCATCAGAAGCCATATTTTCTCTATTGTGAATTTCTACAACAGAATTGTACTTATCTCTTTTTCCCCAGAGAAAAGAAAAAGAATCTTTAGTATTTACAAAAATGGAAGAGATTTTGGTCATGTGCTCCAAAGCACACTATACTTTTCAATTGCACTTACCACACCTCTGAATTCACATCACTTTTAAATAAATGTCTGTAATCCTCATTGAAATATAAGCTCCATGAGGGCAGATACCAAGTCTGCCTTGCTCATCGGCATTTTCCTAGTATCTAGTATTTGGCCTTTAACCTGGAGAATCAACAATGCCCTTCAAAGTCATTCTTGTCCAGCACTCCTATTTTAGAGATATGAAAATAGAATCTGTAAAAGTCATTCTTAAGAAAGGACTTGCCCCAAATCATACAATGTGTTAACGACAAAGACAGGATTACAACTTTGGATCCTTTATTCCCCATTTACATTCTCCATCCATTACACCACAGAGGTTCTTAATATCTAATGCCCTGGGCAAGCAACACTACTGATGAGTAAGATACACAAATCTTTGTGATCTAAACATCTTTTGGTTGGCTGCCTGGCTCCCAGTGTTCTTTATCAGTTGGAACATAGAAACCTTCCCATAAATATGCCTGGTTTATCCATACTTTATGTAGGATTCCAAGAAAAGAAACCCAAAACAGAATTCTACAGCCATAGCAAAGAGCCAACTAAATCTCTCAAGTGAGAGTCGAATTTTACAGAGGCCAAGCCACAGATGCCAGCTGAATTTCCATGGCTCAGCTGCTGCTAAATCAAATATTCTGCTAAACACAGCTTCAATTTGTATGAGTTTCTTAAAATTATTATTTTGGGGTTTCTTTAAAGCAAATGTTTTAGAAAACAGAGATTCTCTTGAGCACATGAAAAAGTAAACGTGAATTTTCCAAGGTTACAAAGATGATCTAAAACTGAATTGTGGTGATGGTTGCCCAACTCTATAATATTTGAAAAATATTAAAATGAATAAATATCACAAACTGTACTACAGTAAAGCTGCTAAAATAAGTCTAAAAATGAGTAATATAGTTAAACTACTTCTTTTTGTAAATATCTGATATTAAAACTGTAAGGATATTCTTTAATATCCCCATGCTGTTTTAAGCTCAGGTCCTATCCACTTAAATCATGGTTTACCTAAAAGGTCAAAAGTTTTCCTTGCAATTTTGGTAAAAATAATCTTGGAGACTAATAGAAATATTTATAAAGAACAAATCTTCCTTGATATAGCACCAAGAAATGTTGACTAGTATGAATAATTTACATGAATAATCTCTAGATATATTTGTTTAATTAAGTGTAGTGTTCTAGTCCAAAACTTGCCATTAATCAGCCATGGAGTTTTAAAAACATTATAAAGCATCTCCAGGTCTCAGTTTTCCCACCTATTTCATGTGTCTCTGTAGACAAGATTAGAGTTAAGTAGTACATAGTACAGTAAAAAGAATAGTAATTGCTATCATCGAATGAATGGATAGCCACTAATATGCCAGACTGTTTAGGTAAATTATCACCCTATGAGGAAGGTATTATTCACCATTTTTTGCAGATAAGGAAATTTGAACATGGAGAAGTTTATCAGTTTAATCAATGTCAGAAAGTTATTCCATAGCAGATCCAAGATTCTAATCCAGAATTACCCAGCTCCAAAACCTGTACTCATTCTCTATTCCTCATCAGACTTTGGACTTTTGATTCGGTCAGATGTGGGCATCTTGACCTTGCCTTTACTATGTTAACTTAATTACCTTCTCTGAGTCCTAATTTCCTCATCTGTAAAATGAGATTACTAATACTTAACTCTCTGGGTTGTTGTGAAAATTAAATAAGAGTGCATCCCCTACAATTAGAAGTCATTCGACAAATAGTCTTTTTCATGCCTCATCCACAGAGGTTCCGTCCTGTGCATTAAAAAATATATATATATATATATAAATTCTTTGATTACCTTACAGCCTACCTGGATAAACTTCACTGGGACTGAGTTCTGTTGAAAGCAATTAGAGTGATCACAAACAATATAGCATTACTTCTTTGCTATCAGTCCTTGGCTCCGTGACTGAAACTGTCATCAAGAGTGTCAACTTCAAGGGATGGGCATCTGTCCACAGGAACTGAGCTGAGGTAACAGACTTGTCTCACTCTGCCCAACAGATGTCTGGGTGACAACTCTTAGTCACTGAAAACCAAGGTTATAGCCAAACCAGGTGGGAAGTCCTATATCTCCTTTTTAATCCTCTTGGCAAGCCCATTCATTCCCTAAGACAATACCTCACTGATCATAATTCAAAATAACTAGCTTTCCTCAGGATACTATTTCAACATAATGCCTTTATTTGGATAATATCTGATTATTCCACAGGCAAAAGGGACTGTTTCTATAACAGTGGTTTGATAGCAAGAAACCTGCTTGGTTCTGTATATTGGAATGCACACCTTCAAATGTTTACCTTGCAAGTAGCCAGGTAAAAACTGAGATAATGTGGAGCTCTAGTGGTGGGAAGGAAGTAAAGCAGCTATCAGTGAGAGCCAGTAAAAAAAGCCAAGGAATCACCATTTATTATTAAAACAACATGCTAAGATGAAAAATGGTCCACAATAATCTTCTAAGATAATATAAGGTAAATTCTAAATGTAACAGCTTTCTCACATATTACAAGTTAGACTTCAATAACTAGCCTATGTGAAACATCATGAAGCAATTATATCTTGTCAAAAAACAGAATAGTGCTGTCGTTGTCACTTTTCTATATTTTAGCAAGTTTATTAAGAATTGTATTAATTAAGCACTAGTTATTTTTCACACAGCTAGCAAGAATGCTACATACAAAAAAATGCTAGACTCTAAGTGGTGTGATCAGTGAAGTCCTGTACCATCTGTCCTGGGAATTTAAATGATCCTCCAGGCTGATGAGGTGGCTGTGAATTAATTCCTGCACTGGAAAGTGCCTTCCTTGAATATCTGACTTCTGAGCTCTTTTCCAACTTAAAACAACTAATAATGAAACCTACAATGTCAAACATTTACTCTTTGTTTTTCTGGTACCTAAAGTATATGTCTTCTCAGTCAAAACAGCTTCATATAAATATGCAGCTCCATTATGGGCAACAATGTAACAGAATATAAATAGTAACATTTTTATAAGGTACAACCTGGAGATGACATTTAAAATTTCTAAACATGGTGCCTGGATTAGCTGTGTCAAAACAAGTTATGGCAAAGGGAAAAAAATCTCAGAATATGAAAAAATACAGAAACTAGCTTTTCTATATATAAGTAGCTAAGTATCACGTTCCTGAATATTAAAGAAAATTAACAGACTCACTTTCCGTGAGATGATGAAAGAAACTAAAATGTTCGTAAATCCATTAACAATGTTTAACTGTTTTCCAGTGGTCAAATTTCAAGGGCTTCTAAATTGTGAGGTCTATGGATGACTACCAAAGCCTCAGAGGCCTTCCTTTCTGAGAAGGAAGATTTAATGATCACCCAGGGAACTTTACTCATGATGTTCCTCATGTTCATCCTTCTACTAAAATGTTGTCATTATCACAGTTCCCTGAAGCTGCACAGAAAAAATGGTAAAAATATGAGCCTTTTCAAAAAAGTCATTGAGAATGCAATAGTCTATAATGGGAAGCTCAAGTAAAGAACTAATTTCCCTTCAGTTCTTATCTTTAACTATAGGATTAGATACAGAATCTTTTTGATAGAATAGAAAAAGAGCAGGAAAGGAAGTGAAGGTGTTTTACTAACATAATTGTATGCCAAAGGGAACAAAAAAAAAAAAATCCTACACTACTGCAGTATGAGCCACCAGGGAATTCAGAATCTAACAGTTCTACAGTCCATTTCACCAGACATTAAAATAATTTAATAAACTTGAAGAATATTTTTCAATCTGTGAATTCAAAGAAGTTTGCCTTTGTACATCATCTTGCCTGTATTTCCTTGGTGATTATCTCTCTCTCCTTTGCTTTCCCATAACAAACAGTGGTATACTGCTTAAAATAATATTTAGGGCTTTATTTGCCATCTTTTTCACTGAGACATGTTGATTTTATTAAAGCAAGTTGGGTCTGCATTCTTTCTTTACTATTATTATACATAGAGTTGACAGACACAGGACCTTTGTTTAAAAGTGCTCTGCTCTGGAAGAAACCTTGTTAAATAAGTTTCATTTTACCTGCTGGGCAGTTACACTCTGAAGGTGCTTCTCTTGCAATTCTTATTTTAGCCATATGTTCGTAGGATTTCTGGAGGAAAAGAAGAGGTATTAACAATCATCAGTAGCATTATATAGAAATGGAGTCTGTAGGGACTCTCTGGCCATATGCTTGATTTACCAGCATTTGATAGCCTGAATAACCAATATTTACATATGTACTTGTATTTTACTCAAAAAGTAAACCATGCCCAGGCACAGTTTCTAAAAAAAGAAAACGATCATTGACATGGTATCAAGATTGTTGAGCATCTTTCTCCATTCTTCAACTATCACCACTCTCAGCTCAAGCATAAGCAGTCAATGCACAAAGCTGGCACTAACATGTTGCAGTTAGTATAAAACTGCAACAGCCAATATTGTATACATGAAGGTCAACAGGCAATATTTTACACAGGTTAACTGCTTTATCATGCTGTGCTGCAACTACTGACAAACAGCCTCCTTGTTGGAAGAACAAGTGCCAGAAAACCCCCTAACTCTAGTCTAAAGGTGCCCTTAAACATAATATAAATTCCTTTTAACTCTCAACTCTAGTGATTCTGCATTCATAAAGATCCCTGGCACTGCATCCTTTACTAAAAATAAAGCTACTTAAAAAAATTAAACTGTTAATATGAAAAGATTCAATGTGTGAAGTTATTGATTTTTAAAGAATACATGGTGTTATTTCACTTTTAAGGGTGATTACCTTTTATATATTAATAATACCTATGGTTCTAACCGTCTTATAATACATGAAAGATATATTGTGTCTACAAGTAATATTCTCCACACAATTGGAAAAGGCTCATATACAACTTCAGAAAACTAAAAGGAGATAAAATATTCCATTGCCATTCTAGCCACCCTTCCCCCTTTTAGACATTTATATATGCTTAGTATGCAAACACTAAGGAAGAGTGAGGGACGATGACAAAGACAGGGATGGCAATATCAAGGCATGTGCATATACAAATATATGCTACAGTCAATGCAGATTGTCACCTAACACGCGCACACAGCCACACCAACTGTGCATTCTGTACGGATAGAGGCTGCTGCTCTATCCTTACACCCAGAATCCGTACACCCAGAATCACGCCTGTGCAAGATGTTATCCACGTGCAAAATACCCCAGCCTTTCACACCTGAGCCAGAAGTCGCTCCACTTTCTCTTGCACCATGGCCTTGAGCTGATCCACGGTATCTGGCAGCAGACGAATGGAAGGGGCCCCCTTGGCGGATTCGAGAGCAGCGATCCTCGCCTGCAGGTCGTTGGTTTTCACCCCCAGGTAGAGACAAGACATCAAGGCCACCCCTGACAGGAGGGCCGCCAGGACCGCGCACGGGGTCACGGTCCAGGCACAACGCTGCCCGGCAGGGCTCGGGTCCTCGGATCCGGGGCCCCGGGCCCCTCCTTTCCCCGCGTGCTTCTTCACCAGCATCGTGGCAGGGGCGGCTGGTTCGGCTTCAATCCCACCCTCGATCACCCCCAATAATCTCAAAGGAAAGAAAAAGGGCGATCCCTCCAAAGTTCAGTCCCTGTGGCCGCACAACTTGGCGGTCAGAGCCGGGGCGCAGAGACGGACTCCGCTTTCCTCAGCGCCCAGCGCGGCGGGCGAGCAGCATCCTCCGCGCCCTTCGCTCCTCACAGCCGGAGTCAAAAGCACCCTCCGCCCGGGGACGTGCGGGCGCCGGGGTAAAGCCCGAAATGAAGCCCCCTCGGACAGCTCTCCCGACTCCCCGAGGACAGACACCGCTTCCGAGGCGCCCAGGAGCGCAGCGCAGGGTCCGAGCGACGCGGCCGAGGCCGCTGCTCCCCTCGCCACCGGGCACCGGACCTGTTGCGTCCGCTAGTTTGCCGGATCCCACCTATTCGCTGTCTCCTCACGCCGCCCTGTCTCCCGCCTGGACGCAGTTCAAGGCAAAAAGGCTGAGGCAGCCCGCGAGAGCCCGCGGGGAAGCAGCGTCCCAGGCGGAGAGGAGAGAGGAAACGAAATGCACCCAAGGCACAAGCGCGAGTCGCGAGGCCGAAGTATCTCCGCAGCTCCGCGAGCGCGAGCCTTAAATACCCTCCGGGATGCTCGCGTGTGTGTGAGAGACTGTGTGAGCGCGCGCTCGGGCGCGACGTCCCGCCCCCGACCCCGCCGGCGCCCGCGTCCGGCCGCAGCTCCCGCCGCACAGCGCCCCCTCGCAGGCAACGCGGGCGCCCGCCTCCTAACGGTAACGCGTTCACCTTGGCCCGAGGGGGACCCGGCGGGGCGGGGAGCTTGGGTGGGAGCGGAGCGGGAGGTCTGTTATTAGCATAATGTATGCAAATCGCCGGAGCGGCCGCCGTGATTGGACAGGAGCATGGCGACCCCTCCCCCTGCTCGGAGTAACTTCAGCGTCCCCCTAAGACCACTGCTCCGGCCTGGGCTGGGGGCCGAGGCGGGGTCCGCCGCACGGAAGGGCTTATACTGACTGGGCTGGCGCCCCCTCTTTATCCCGGTTAAAAATGGAGAAATGGCCTCCGGGAGGGAGGAGGTGAGACAGAACGCTCTATCTCTCCTGATCTTCCCTCAAAAGCAGCCGCCGGAGCCCCCTCCTGCCTCGCTGTCCACGCGCGCGAGGCCGAGTGTGGGGCTGAGGGCCGAGGCGCGCGTCCCCTCGCCGCGCTCTTCCCGCGGCCGCGCGGCAGATGCTCCTGGAGGCAAGCTCCCCCTCCCCCAGCTTCCGTCTGCCCTGGCGGCGCCCAGCCCTCCCAGCCCCCTCCCAGCTCTGCGTTCCGGGTCTGAACCGGGGTGCTAATGTGTTTTCCTGATTCCGTGTTTGTGGGTCCGGAAAAGGCAGCGTTGAGGTACACGCGTTGCTCGGGATTTAAGAAAGGACTGAGAAATGAGGTCAATTTTTCCTCTTTCCTGGCTCTCCTCATGCTGGTCCCTCTGGATAGAATTACAAGGTCTCTAATGGGATTTTTGAAAGTTGGTAACAAGTAGCATTTTATATCTAATTGACTTTGGGGGCAAAAGAAATCCCACCTCTGACTCCAAAGACCTCCTCCTTATCTCCTTCTCCCCGTAAGAAATACCGTTTATTGTTCCCGTCCTCCTTTCTCGCTGTCGCTACTGTAAACGATCAGCAAAATACTGCAGGGATCTGACCTCCACTTGTGTGACTGGATATTGCTTCATGTGAAACAGGGTGAAGTTTCAACATATTAGGGGATGAAACACATAATATCAAAGGAAAACTCAGTGAATCAAAAGCATAATTCCTTACCTTTGTGTTATGTAGTGGTTCTCAAAGGATGGTCCTGAGCCGGTAACATCAGCATCACCTGAGAACCTGTGCATCATTCAGTCTCCCCAGACCTGAACCAGAAACCACTGCTACTGCTGCCACTGAAATCAGAAACACAGCAACCTGTGCAACAATTTCCAAATATTTTCAAATACATTTTTTCATTTGAACCTCATCACCTGGTGATGCTAGTGAGGAATTACTGTCCCTGTTTTATACACAAATAAACCATTTTCAAGTCACATTTAATTGTGATCAAACATGCTTCCAATATTAAGACCCAAGAAATGGGTACAGATGTTTTAATCTTTAATCTTTCTGATTTTCCAATTACCTCTCCATGTTGTTGCTCCTTGGGTCTCTGTCTTATGCCATCTTCTCTTCTAAGTCTGTATACTGCCTCCAGTAGAGTTCCCAAATGCCATCCTTACACTGATGAGTCAGAAATCCACGTTGCAAGCCTAAACCTCTCTCCTGAGCCTCAGACCCATGTAGCCTGTTCGCCATCTCCATTTTGCTATCTCACTGGCAATTCCATCTTTCCCCACATCTTGCCTCCAAGCTCTGCTCTTCTTCCTCTGTCTTCCCATGTTAGCAAATGGAGCTGCCATCCATCCCAGGGCCCCCAAGCCAAAATACCCAGTAATCAGCCCTGACTTTTCCCTTGCCGTCCTCTCCTCATCTACCTAGACTTCCTCAATACTTCCCATCATCCTTAGGATGAAGACTGTGTGTCTTAGGAGCCTCCTACCTCTACCACCTGGTGTCTGCCGTCTCACCAGCCTCACTGATCATTCCTCCCTCAAACTCTCCACACTGGCTTCTCTCAAGTATTGACACAAAGGAATAAAGAGTTTTTTCTTTTGGATGAGTCACCACTCTTAAAATTTCAGTAGAAAAGCATTTTCTAGTCTGACTGAAGTTGACAATAGATTGCACATTTAATGTGGATGATACAATGTTCTTATAGCATGCTTTGTGGGAACTAGCCATGAGAAGGTACAGTAACAACTCTTGAAAGCTCTGAGAACTATCAGATCTTAGTAGAGAGACAGAGTTGGAATTTTGTGGATTTGGAAGCTTTATCCAGGGGATTAGATTTGCTTTATATCTTTGGTGGGCACAATACCTCAGGAATGTACCAGCCATTAGCACTAAGATTTCAAAACCCACTAGATTCTCTGCGTCAAGCACTGAGAATGCATGGATCAACAGAGCTCTGGGGGTTTGAACTCATGTTGTTCTTTAGATTGATCAGAGCACAGTTGTTATTTTGGTTCCCTATGTGGAAGATTCAAAAAAGATAAAAATAGCACTAAAAATGCTACAATCTACCTGATTCCAACTTGCCTCAGACTAATATCAATAGCAGTAAAAGGTAAGCAACTGCTTATAAAACAGGCATGTGGTGGGAAGATTAAAGGACCCCCAAAGACATCCATGTCCTAATCTCCAAAACCAGTGAGTTACCTTGCATGACAAAGTAGATTTACAGATATGATGAAGTTAAGGATAATGAGATGGGGAGATTTTCTTCAATTATGTGGGTGGGCCCACTGTGACCACAAGAGTCCTTATATGAGGGAGGCAGGGTCTCAGAGTGAGAGGAGATGTGACAGTGAGATGTGAGTGCTGACTTTGCAGATGGAAGAGGCTCACAAGCTTCTAGAAGCTGGAAAAGGTGAGGACCGAGTTCTCCCCTAGGGCCTTCAGAAGGAACACCATAGCCCTGCCCACTCCTCCATTTTAGGACTTCTGACCATCAGAACTGTAAGTTTGTGTTGTTTTAAGTCACTAATTTGTGATAATTTGTTACAACAGCCACAGAAATCAGTCTTCAACTGCTGCAACATTGTAAGTGACATTGGAAACACCAGAATGCCCTATAATTCAAGCAGGCCCTTGAGGAATAAATCCTTGCCTCTCAAATGTTTATGCATTCTGTTTTATTGTCATTCCCGTGGGGAAAGAATTGAGGAGATATGCTTTCTCCCATGTCATGTAAAATTAGGATGCCTTCTATAAAGGCATATTAAATGCAATAAAATATGTTCTATTTCCTCGATGCCTCCCATTGGAGCAACTCAAAACCAATAAACCAGCCAAGCTGTACAGTCACTGTCATCTCTCTTCCCTGCTACTGCTGGCCTTACCAGGGATCCTGGCCCAAGACTGCTGGTACTATTGTTACCAATCTGCAGGTCACCAGAAAAAGATATAGACTCTGATAGAGAGGCATAGCGGGAAGTTAAAGTGAGAAAGAAAATGCCTGGGAGAGGAAGTAAGAAAAACAAGATAAAGAAGAAAAAGGAAGATAGAAGAAAAGAGCTTTTTAAGTGAGTAGAAGTGTTCATTTAAAGAAAAGACAGGATCCGAATCAAGATGGTGGACAAGAAACACCGCCAGACAGAGTGTCTCTAAAGAAAAGACAGATTCTAGCAGAAATCAGAAGAAAAAAGCAAGAAGATGAGCATACATCAGATGAGGGTCAGAAGGAGGAGTACCTGAGACCACGGGAGACTCCACGAGAGGAGGTTGCGGAGGAGAACTGGAAGCAGAGACCTCTGGAGCAGCCTGGAGACCAGCGACAAGGCAATGGAAAACTGTCACATTCCTCTAGTGCCAGGACTCATATTAAATATGGGTTTACAAAGGCAAATAGACCCTTTCAAGGCCCACAAGGACTCACAGGCCAGTGGAGGATTATTGATGATTAAACAAGAATCACAGCACAGAACTGTAATTCAGATGGAGAGAGAAGGGACTACAGCCAGAACCTGGAAGAGATTTTAGAAGTCAGATTTGTAGAAAGAAATTCTGAAAGCACACAAGAGACCACCTGGTTTGAATTGGTGAGGATAGAGATGACAGAGGAAAGAGGACTTCTATTATCCACTGAAACTTCATGGAACCTGGTCAGCTGATTACAGTGGATGTCTACTGCAACCAGCAGGATGAAATGATGAGGATGCCTGTAATTACATAGCCGAGATCGGTCCATTGAGACAGGTGAATACTCTTGCAAGGCAACGCTCAACGACATGTCAAACAAGCAACGCTGCTCAAGCTACACAGGCTGGACTTGGAAACTCTCTGTCATCCACCGTATTCACCAGACCTTGCACCAGCTAACTACCACTTCTTCCAGGCTTTGGACCACTTCTTGCAAGGAAAAATAGTCAATTCTCCACAAGCTGTGGAAAACGCCTTTCACAATTTCATTGCCACTCTCTCTCCAGGCTTCTTGGCTGCTGGCATAAGCAAGCTACTGGTAAAATGACAAAACTGTGTCAACAGTTTAGGCACATACTTTGATTAATTGTATTGCTGTTCGTTTGTGATATAAAAAATTAAACTTTTCATTCAAAATCGGACATTTCATATTTAAGAACCTACACCAACTGGAAGAGGGTCCTCACCAGAACTCAAGCATACAGGCATCCTGATCTTGTACTGTTAGCCTCCGGAACTGTAAGAAATAAATGTTTATTATCTAAGCCATCCACTCTATGGTAATTGGTTATAGTAGCCCAATCTGACTAAGACAGTTACAAAACCAGAATCTAATCCTGTGTCTGCCTGATTCCAAAAGTGTGCTCTTCTGTCCATATAGAATGTAGAACTGTTAAAAAAAAAAATCTTTAGGAGAAGTTTTTTTGGATTTGTGAAATGTAAGTTGTCTGGACCTTAGACATCTCATGCATTCAGGACAATAATAGGGAAGGAAAAGTCACAGTGACAAACTGAATATGAGCATATGGGCAAGGGGAAAATAATCAGAACTCTAAAACCCTGTCTTTGGGGCCCAGAGCAGACTGGTATCAG